TAAGAAAATGCCAAGTCTTTCCTTTTTTGCAGATCGGTCACTGCTAACCTACATGAGATAAACCACTCCACACTGCCTCAGCTCAACACCACAACCTTATCAACCAAAAATCATTCCTCAAACCTACGTATGTCTTGGCAGATTATTATGTCAGAATCTCGCTGTGGGTGCAATCTCGCTGAGGGTGCAACCGCTTTACATCGTAATATCCCCTCGAGAGAGAGAGAGAGAGAGTTAGATACGGATATCACACCACTACCAGTAAAAGGTATGATATCATCCAAAACGGTGCACGAGCCGATGTTAGAGCAAGTATATAAGTGGCTGGAGAAAAAAAAAAAACACGATTCCTTCCAGATACCTGTACTGACCCTTCATGCCCGCTCACACCGCACCACCACTACGAATACCCAAAGCGCAAAAGGGGGTATCATACTCCGCTGCGCATGGCACTAGCAAGGGCGGACCAGAACCTTGCTTCTGTAGTATGCAACCCGAATCCGTAATCACGGATGATCACTCGTGTCGTTTCCCCTGGCGGTGCACTCGCAAGGATCGACTTGAAAAGTGGTGTGGTGAGCGTTCTTGGGATTGTCGTGTCGTTGGTAAATCACTTCTTTAGTGAGACTATTTATCTGATTATAGTACCGGCATATACAAGTATGGCACCCCCTCACTCTCACTGCTCGCGCTTCGCTGCTATAATACGCTACACGCTGCCCCCATCTCCCCTCCCTTCGACGTTCCCTGGATTATGGATGACTCAATATTTGAATGTTATCGAAGCCGAACTGCTAAGCTAGCATTGTGGTGAAGTGGCGAAAGTTGACTCTAACCTAACGGGTATATATACATATCCATATTCCCCAAATCCCACTTGGGATGCAGTGTGTATGTGGGTATGTGTGTATGTGTGTGAATTGGCGGATATAAATAAGCTTTTCGTTCGTTGAGCACAGTACAGGCACGGTACAGTACGATCCTGGTGATAGAATTCGTGCCCCCCCCTATTTTAGACAAAAAATGGCTAATTTTAAACACTTCCAACTCGCCTGAGGGTAATATAGAATTAATTGATGAGATCGATATCATAGTGTAGGCAATTCCCTGGACTTTCTAGGCAAAAAGTTAGGAGAACTTCCCCACTCCATTCCATTGTGGGAGTTAAGAGCTGAAGGTCCAGGTTGGATCGGATTGCAATATACTATCTGTATGGGAAACTCGTATAAAACCTGAAGTATCTTTCACATACTGTCATTGTTTCTAGCAATTGAGCCATGGGCACTGACTAATAGAGTTTGTCACATATGAGTGAGGATATCCGGATGACTCTAAAAGTTCTTGTGAATTTTCATATTTTTATTCTATTTTATTTTTGCAAAGCGATAAGGCTGAGATTTGCAAGCTGAAAATGTCCATTTTTGGTGTAAGAGGAGGAGGGGCATGAATTCTGTCACCAAGATCGTACAGCACTCAAGTATCATATAGTGAGCTGCTAGCCATAGATCGGTATTCTTTTTTTTTTTTTTTTTTTCCTTAGTACACAATTCATCCATCCTCATTGCGGTATGAAAATCCTCTTGGATAATCAAAACCTTTTCCGCCTCACCAGGACGGACGTTGCGTTCTTCCTATCCTTAGTGATCCCTCGGCGAGCTACCCCGCGGTATTCCCAAATAATATCTCGTGAGATCTTGCTTATCGCACGAGACGTTCCCAGCTCTCTCTCCCTTCGCGATACGTGTAACCTCCTCACTTTGTCAAGGGCGCTTTTTCGAGTATGATACCATGGCTATCTATCTCTAGCATGCTGAAGAGATTTGATGTTGGTTTTTGCGTGCTGCTTGACTGATATGCCTACCGGTAAATGCGTCAGGCATTAGTTTACGGGCTCTTGGGGGGTTTAGAGAGCGCTGATTGCATGATGTCAACGTATCATATCTTGCGGGTACTTTCCGTCAATGCAAATAACCAAGGTATCATACAGAGCGGCAGGGATGGGGCATTAAGCGAAAGAAGTGGGAGGGTGGTCGGTCAAGATGATAAGAAACTGGAAATCAAGAATATGCCTGACCCCCACCCGAAAGCGGGCAAAGAAAAAACGAATCACAATCCCTCACTCGAGATCTGGCACCGCCGGCCTCCTCCTCCCCTCCAAAACATCCACAACCCGATTCCCACTCCTATCCCTAATCGTCCCATCCGCGCCGCGACGAATGAGCAGCCAAGCGACAGCTTCAAACTTCCCCCTCAACCTGGAAACGTACGGGCCCCTAGCGACAAGGTGCATTGCCGTCATGCCCCTCCCATCCCTAGCCCCAACATTCGCGCCCCTCTTCAGCAAAACTTCCACAGCTCCTGCCCTCCCCATCCCGGCAGCCCAATGCAACGGCGTCTGACCATTCCCATCAACAACGTCAACCTCAACGTCCCCCCTCCCGGCCGCCGCTTGGTCCAGAAACTCCCGCAGCTCCTCCACGCGCACGCTCTTCGTCGCAAAGTGCAACGGCGTGCGCTGTAGCCGCGTGCGCTCTCGTGCCGATAGGTCCGCGCCGTGCGCGAGTAACACCCGCGTACACGCCTGGTCCTCGCGCCGCGATATGACCGAAACGTGCAGTGGCGTCCAGCCCTCGTGGTCCGTCGCCTCCACCGCTGCGCCGAAGGCCAACACGCGGGAGAGTAGGTTGGGTCGCGCGTACTTGCAGGCGAAGTGCTGGGGTGTACGGCCTGTTGCTTCCTCCTCCACTTGTATCGCCCCCCCGTGCACGAGGATGAGCGAGAGGGTTTTCGTGGGGCAGGGATGCGGGGTTCTGTGGAGGATCGTGTGTGACGGGGTGCGGATTGTGAGGACCTGAGTGGACTTTTGCAGCAGAAAGGTGGTCATGGCTTTGTTGCCCGTGGAGATTGCCCAGTAGAGTGCTGCTAGCGAGAGTGTGGAATTCGCGGCGTGCATGTGCAGGACTGTCGGTAGGAGCGTGGATAGTCGGTTGTTTGTCAGCATGAGGGAGTGTAGGTCTGTGATCTCCGTGAGTTGTTGGGCGACCGCGACGATGAGTTCGTTTGGGAGGGAGAGGAGGGGGAAGCCTCGCTGTGAAGACATTTTGGGTGGCATCGGTTTGTTTGCTCGAGGTGTTTGGTTTGCCGGGGTTTTGGGTATGGCGAGCGCTGCAGAGTAGAAGTTATCAAGGAGAAAGGCGGTGATCAATCACTCCTCAATCCTCCTTCGGGGTAATGGCATGTGTAGCGGAGAATGCAGCAGGCGGGTGGGGGAGATTCTCAAATCGACCCGTCCTGGCCAATCATCGTCGCAACTCGATCGCACGACCAACATGGGCGCTCATGAAGCAACTCAAGGCGAATCCCTATACCGGTACCACACTAGAAGCTCCGTCCAGGCTGTCGCCACGGGATACTCTAGGGCGTAATCCATCATCCATAAGTTACGGGGACCTTCAGACAAGTACGGCAGGGTACGGTACTCGAGTACTCTGGCTCAAATACCGGGGGTATCGGAGATCATAAAGTTTAAATGTATCAGTGTGCCTGACCCGAACTTGATCACCTAGAGTGGTGCAGGTTTATGCAATTCGCTACTTTTACGGGTATTCAGGCGCAGAGGGTACTATATCTATGGCATTATGGGTACCGTGCCTGCTAGGATGTGTAGCTGGTGGGTAGCAAGTTAAGCCTACCCTGCCCTTGGGAATGCCTCACGATGACCTACAAGTAATCACTCCGGGCACTCCGGAACTTTGGGCCCTGCATGAATGTCCGCAAAATGTGGCCTGGCTGCTAGAATTAATGGTTGAGAAATGAGTTACAGCCTGCTACTGTAATGAACATACGGTACTGTATAAAGGATGATTGTAACTCTCCCTCAAAATCCTCCGGCAGCTGGGTCGCACGATCCTGCAACGGCTAATGATAAACCAACATACCAGGCCGGGAACTACCATAGATCATTTATTAGCTGCCCACCAAAAAAAAAGAAAAGAAAAGGCCTAAGAAGTGTAGTTCTATCATTTCTATCTGCCATGAGTCTACACATTACATTACCAAACGCCAAACCCCCACGCATCATCACTACGCCGAGTGATACGCAACCAAATCACTTTCGGAAAAGCAACTTCCTCTGTCCCTTCTCAGGCCCGCTACCATTCTTACCACCGCCACCACCGCTGCCTTTCTTAGGCTTCTTAGAAGAAGGACTTGAGGGCGCAGGCGGCGCAATTCGCCTCATAGCCTCCGCTCGATCCTCTTGTGCGAGGTCCTTCGCAAAATGCCAGTCTTGGTGCTCTTCCTGGGCTTCGAAGGGAAGGGAGGTCTTGCAACGGTCGCATAGGAACATCCGGCCACCTCCCGTAGCTACTATTGCAGGTGGTGGCGGCGATGGCGGGTTGTCGAAAGCATCCCCTGTCCCGGGGCCCACTGCGGCATCTTCTGAAAGCAGGTCTTCCCGGGTTGGAGTCTCATTGAAGGCCGCTGGCTGCTTCGTGAAGAATCGCCCAATGTCCTCACCCACCTTCCTTCTTTTTGGCTCCCGCTCTACGGCACTGCTAGATTCGGGCCTGGGGGCATTTCGGTGCTTCGCTGGGTCGCCGCTAACCAGAAACCCCCTAATTCCCACGTTTCCTACCTCACGTTCTTCGAACCCTGAGACGGCTAAGCTAAGCATAGCGCACGGCCAGGCCCTGGCATCATCAACAACACCCCTCAACAGATTTTGTGCCACTGTTGTTAAGGCTGGCTTCGTTACTTCCCGTATGGGGACTGAGCGGCCTTTTCCTGCACCGCCCGAACCTCGATAGCTCAGTGTCATAGTCTTTGGCCTTCGTTTACCCTCCATGACCCCTTCTTCTTCCATTCGGGAATATATGTCGGAAATAAAGACGGTGAGCCATTTGGAAGCCGCATCAGGAGTGGCAATGTAGGGCCTGAATGACTTTGCGGAGAGCATGGATTTGATGAGGGTCCGGGGGTTGACCTCCGACCTGTCGATCCCACGGATCACGTTGTAGACCCAGGTAGCAGTGTCATCATCTAGTTTGAGCTGCAGTTGTTGTAGAGGAGTGTCCAGGAGGGTGGAGAGCTCTTCAGTTCCGAATTCTTCAGAGATCCTCTCTCCTAATTTACCCCCCAGGTTTCTGACTACGTACCCCCACCAAATCAGCATAAATAGCAGCGACGATTCCATAGACGCAATGCCATACGTTTGGTAAACTTGAAAGAGTTCAAAAACAGCTGCGCGGCTCTAACTCTAACAACAGTCTGAATCGTCAGCACGAGACACCACTCATCCACCAAGAACGCCCCATACTCAAGTAGTACCTGTTGGTTCGGTTTTTTGTATCCACTCCCTAGTTTCGCCAACAACTTGTTTTGCGCAATCCCGGCTGAGCACGTGTACCCCAACTCCTTCCTCACACTCCCCCTAACCTCCTCGACGATCTCCGCCGCTATCCCCATCCCGACATCATCCCAATCCAGCTGCCCATCGCTGTCCTCTGCAAACTCCAACAGGTGCGACCCGGCCCACTTAACTTCCAGACCCTTTGGGGGCAACGCCAAGTTCTCCGAAGGGTCGTTATACGGTGGTGGGAGTGCGAGTACCGGAAACCGCTTCAACAGCCTCTCGTACACCATGACCGACAGGTCTAGGAACGACTCATCAATGGAAGCCTTCTCGACCCGCGGACATGCAGCGCGAAAGATGGATATGATCTTCTTCGACTCGTTACGGTATGGGTCTAGGCATGCCTTGCAGGTGACTATGTCCGGGTTCTCGCGATAGTCCCAGCGTTCGTCTCCGGCGCGCCAGGTCGCTACGTGCACGAGTTTGAGCTGAGGGCAGGCCTTTAGGGCGTCGGCAGCTGTTGACTGCGGGATTTGTAAACATAAGTCTGGGTAGATGGGAGTGGGGTTAGGTGAGGCACTCGTACGTGACGGCTGACGTTGAATGCTCTTGCTGGGTAGTTTACCGCAATTAGACCTATAGGGCAAGCGTATTAGTTGCGGTTAAGGTAGTGGGGTTTGATTGCTTGCTTTGCCATTGCTGGACTGCGAGTGGAGTGTTCACGTCCGCTCCGAGTCGCTTCATCTCACATTGCGCCTATGCTCTCAGGTTCAGTAGGGCCCTCAGTGCAATCGGCGGTATAACCCACGTAGAACGCATCGAGATCGCTATTACACAAACGTTAGCTATGCCACCCCGCGCGGTGCACGAGTACGGGTGGGAAGAGGAAGGAGAAGAGTTCAAACATATGAGCAATAACCCTGAACGGGGTGTCAACAGAATATTTCGAAAGCTGGTTAAGGTGCCTGTAGGTATATCTGGACTTTTTTTTACTAGTCAGTTCCCCCATGATAGCTTCGAGTTCACGATCTCCCGCAGGTGGTGAAGGTTGGTTAGCCCGCAACGCGACTTAAGTTGTCGTGAGCAAAGGAAGCCGCGTTCTCACATACCATCCCCACGTGACGTAATTTGAGCAACGCTTTGCTTGTATCATACGGGTACTCGTATATACCGTAATTTACTTGTAGAATACGTACCGGTAAGCCTCCTAGAGGCTATCTAATCAGATTCTGACGCAATTCCCCCGCCGCAACCCCCACCACCAGAAAGTACCCATCCCCGCTCCCCCCTTCCCCGCGCCTTCACCAATCACAATTCCTCGACCAGCGACGCAATGCGCCTCCTCCCCCGAACATTACCCCCGCCGACAATATGTTCCTGCTGTCTACGGAGATTAGCGACTACCACCCGTCGATCATTCTCATCAACACTCCGCCGGCGCTCGCCGATTGACACCGTTTCCTTGCACCTCCCTTCGCCCCTTCCGCGGGGCCCACCAAAATGGCATTCCCAATACTTCCTTTCGAACGGTCACCTGCGAGTAGACGCCAACGACGCCCTCCCCGCCGATGGTGGTGACTACACACATACGCTGGACCGTGCAGCAACGTCGCTGACGGGACCCGCCCTGTTGCCCCACCGCCGGCGTCAGCGGCAGCAGAAACTTCGCGGGGGGATTCCATCGCCCTCCACCACTACAACAACGCAGCTCCCGCCGGACGCATCATCACTGCTATCCACCGTATCCTCCCGGCAGACTAGTTCCTGGAAACGAGCCTTTTACTCCTACCTCGCACTGACGAAACCTCGTCTGACAGCGCTCATCGTACTGTCAGCTATGGCGCCATACGCCCTCTTCCCCGTGGACCCTCTCCTTTCCGACGTCCCGACATTGTCCGCGCTGACGCTCGCATTCCTGACTGTCGGCACGGCGCTCAGCTCTTCCAGCGCGAACGCATTCAACATGTGCCTCGAACCGGCCTACGACCGCCAGATGTCCCGCACGCGAAACCGGCCACTGGTCCGCGGGCTGCTCACCCTGCGACAAGCGCTCGTATTCGCCGTCGTTACAGGCGTGCTGGGCGCCGGTAGTCTGTACGTTGGCGTGAATCCCACCGTCGCCGCGCTCGGCGGGATCAATATTGTTCTGTACGCCGGCGTGTATACCCCGCTCAAGCGCATTTCCGTGGTGAATACCTGGGTTGGGGCGATCGTCGGTGGGATTCCGCCGCTGATGGGATGGGCCGCGGCGGCTGGGAACGTTCAGGGCGTGGACTCGACGTGGATCTCTACACTATCACATCCCGGTGGATGGCTGCTGGCCGGTCTCCTCTTCGCCTGGCAGTTCCCGCACTTCAATTCCTTATCCTGGGGAATCAGAGACGAGTACCGGCGAGTGGGATACCAGATGATGGTCTGGAAGTACCCTGCCCTAAACACCCGTGTGGCCTTACGCTACTCGTTGCTGCTATTCCCCATCTGCTTCGGTCTGTGGGCTACCGGCGTTACAGACGCAGGTTTTTTGGTGGACAGTAGTGTTGTGAATGGATGGCTGGTACGGGAGGCCTGGAGGTTTTACAAGAAGGGTGGTGAGGGGGGCAATGCTAAGAGGCTGTTCTGGACAAGCGTCTGGCATTTGCCGGTCGTTATGGGGTTGGCTATGGTGCATAAGGCGGGGCTCTGGAGGGGGGTTTGGGAGAGTATTGTTGGGACCGAAGAGGAGGGGTATGAATGATGGGTTGTGATTATTTTCGGAAGGGAGGGAGGGGTGTACATAAGAAATGGGCTTTTCGCGCACGCCCAAGAAAAAGAAGAAATGCGCCGTATATATGGAACAATGGAGGGGGCAGCAACTGTATCACGAAAATCAGAATTCCGCCGCCCTACTTGGTTATAGACACGATCAGGAACAAGGAAATGGAATGGAATGAAAAGAAAAAGAGAGGTATGACAAAAGGGAAAAGGAGAAAATAAGAAGGAAAAAGGAAGGAATAAATATAAAAACTTGATATCATAATGCTAATAGCCCTCCCCTAAGCCACAGCAAATAGAGAACTTTTTGGCTTTTTTCGTGTTTGCAAAAGAAAGATTACCGGGGCAGGAACGAATAGATGGAAGAGAGTACAGTGTACATCAAGCAGAATAGTACAATACAAGCTGTTGCGTAAGAAAAAGAAAGAGAAATGGGATTGAGAAACTTCCCTCCCAGCAAATACAAAAGAAGGTATCCCGTGGGTCACACACTAAGCACCAGAGGGAAGAAGGAATGAGAGTAGGGAAAAGAAAATGAACAAAAAATTAATTGTGTACAGTGAAAAACCCACGACAAACTTGAAGCCGTGGAATGGGAAAGCAAAAAAAAAAAAAAAAAAAGAAAGGGAAAAAAAAGAAGGCAATCCAACATTTTGATTATCCTTCCTGCTCTCTCGATAGTATTATGGCTCAATAGCTCTGATGAGAACCCGGACGTTATCCACAAACCCACGAACCAGAGACACATAGGCATTCGGCTTACTCTCCTTTACTAGATTTCCGTGTCTTATGATTTCCTGCCCGGACACTTCAACCTCAAGCTCGTGTTCTTTCTTCGCGGTATTCTAATGTTTTGTCAGAATGACATCACACCACATCAATCAGGGGATTCAAAACTTACATCCGTAACCTGGGTAAGATCGATTTGGTAGGCTAAATGGCGGTAGCTTAGCCTATCCTTGTTTCTGTCTCCGCCGCCTCTATCGCTCGAAGGCTGTAACCCATCAATGTCACCCGGGTACGGCATTTCGATATTCGCGCTAACCCGCCAATCAAATACGGTCTTTGGTGAATAAACGTTGAGATCTGCGATTCTCGTCTTGATGATCTTGTTGATAACCTTTCCGGTCTGGTCAAACGTCACACGTACTTTGGGCTTGTGTCGCATATGTGAGCGCAGGATGTTGGGGAGTGCTTGAAACTTGTCCGGCGGGAGTTCGAAAAAAGTATCTCTCTCACGGGTGTGCACGTAGTCCATTGGGATACGCTGGGGCCCTGTGGGCGGTCGGGAATTCTCATTCGGGTGTTCGGATGATGGGGATGGTGGCATGCCGGGAGGAGGGGGTCCCTTGGATTCGTGGAATTGTCGGTTGAGGAATAGGTTGAGGCGCTTGTGCTGTGCCTGCGGTGTAGTCAGCCTCTGCCGCAATCCATATGCAGTGATGGAAATGCAAATACAAAACCGCATCACGCGAAGGGGCAGATGATAACAAATAAATAATCTTACCTCGGTCATGCTGCTCTTGAATTGGATTTTCCATCCCGGTTCGTCGACGTTCAGCACTGTTTCCGTGACGACCGGAAGTTTCAATCTCTCGCCTTGCTCCTTGTCAATCAAATGGCCAATCTTTGCTTCGATCTCAATCATGACAACCGGACCATCCCCCCCTGATGGAGCGAGTGCTGGATCGTTTTGACACACAACTTGACTAAACAAGAAATTCGCAACCTCCCTCGTCAACTCTTCATAAGGCTCCGTGTTGCATATAGAAGGCTCCCAGGCCCCAAAGCATGGAACACAACGAGGTGTAGATCCACTTGCCGGAGGGGGCCTCTGATGCTGCTGTGGAGGAGGAGGTGGTGGCGGAAGCGGCGGTGGTTGCTGTTGCTGAGGGGGTTGATGCTGATTTGCACTGCTCGGTTGTCTCCTATTCGGCAACACGGGGCTACTGCTAGAGCTTCGACTGGCTTTTCTTGCCCAGATCGGGGTCTCATCCCTTCGAGCCCTTTTCTTGGGAGGCCCGGACGACCCGGGACTGCCGCTGTTACCCCCCTCCACGATCGTTGGATTATGGGATGGCGCGGGCGGCGGACCCAGCTGTTGCGTAGCTCTTGGGCTCGATGGCGGCTGGGGCGGAGGATGCCGAGAGTTGATGCTCGGTGGGGCCGGGGTCGGGGTCGGGGTCGACTTTTTCGTTTGTAGAGTTAATGAAGAGGGCGGTGGATGAGGCTGCTCCTTATTGCTAGGAGAAACGGTCGATGTTCTTTGTGAAGACGCGCCCGAAGAAGGTTGGGACGGAGGTTGCTGAGAGGGATTGCTATTGCTGTTGGGGTTGGATGGTAGTTGTGGTTGCGGTTGAGTGGGTTGTGGTTGTTGTTGTTGTGGTGCCAGGTGGTGCGGACCTTGGCTATCCCTGCCATCAACGCTTACAGCACCATTAGGTTTCGCTCGTTCCGCAACGGGGCTTCCCCATTTCTGCCCAGGGCCTAAAACAGGTCCTGGAGTTACGCCTGATCCTCCGTCCAAGTCCATCATGTCGACACTCCTCCGCTCTTGACTTGGGGTCGCCACAACGGAGGAATCGCGCCTCGCGTAACCGCCGGGCCCGTCCGGAAGATGCTGTGAATTAGACCTTGATCCTACATACCCACCACTATCTGGAGCAGCATCTTCCGCTGGCGAATAGGGAGGAAGTTTCGTCTTTGGACTAACACTTATGTCTATCTCCCTCTCTCTTCTCTCCCTTCTCTCTCGTTCCCGCTCCCGCTCACTTTCCCTATCCCTATCTCGTTGTTCCTTATCTCGCTGTTCTCTTTCCCACTGTTCCCGTCCCCTCCCAGCCCTTTCACTCCCCTCAATTCTCTTCCTTTCCGCCCCCCCCCTGTTCTCCCGAGCCCTCTCCCTTTCTTTATCCCGTTGATCCCTAGGTACTGGTGGCGTAATGGTTGGCGTAGATCTTTCGTTAACACTGATGCTGTTGCTCGACGGGCGCCCCAGAAGAGGCCTCCCCCCAATTGGTGAAGCTAGAGGAGACTGACGAGGGTACCCTTGATTGGGATGCGGGTGCGGGTGCTGCTGTTGATGTGGGGAGTGGTAATGGTGAGATGATGGTGGAGGGTTATGATGTTGTTGGTGCTGGTGCAGCAGTGGTATTTGCTGCTGTTGCTGTGTGTGGTCATATTGGTGATGCTGACCCGGAGGAAATTGATTTAGAGACGGTGAGGACACAGAGCTTGTTGGCGTAGCACTATGTCTAGATGCTGCACCCAGCGGATGAGGAGTCGATGGCGATTGACCATAACCCTGCTGCTGGTGATGATGTTGTTGCTGCGCGTGTGGAGACGGCGGTGGAGGGGGGGGGAACTGCCGAGTGGCTGAGGTTGGAGAAGAGAAATAAGGTGACTGGGGCTGCGAATGCGGATGCGAATACTCTCCCGACTGGAACGGAAATTGGGGAGTTTGTGGAGTTTGTGGGGGTTGTAAAGGCGGAGGCGCTGGTTGCTGAGGACGCCGAGCTGATGGTGTAGAGGATGGCTGCGCCGGCGGATCAGAGTTTAACAATGAGTGAACCTTCATGGTTGGAGAAGACGTGACGCTACCAAGTGCTAGCGCGGGAGAGTTTATGTAATATCGAGAAGAGGAGTGGCGATGCGAATTCTGCAGCACGGAGGAGGGGGAGGGAGGCGGAGGAATAGATTGAGTGATCGCTGCGAGTCGTGCGTCCTGCCGGCAAGCAAAGGCGCGCGACGACGGGCGGACGGTTTGGCGAGGCGATGGCTCCTTTGGCGCTAGAGGGGGTGAAGGTGGGAGAGCCGGTTAGAGGGGAAGGGGGAGGATATGGAAAGCTGTTCCGGTAAGTAGTAGGGAGGGGTTTGTTGCTGGGTGAGATAATGGCGATGGAAGCGAAGCGGTAGTAGGAAATGAGTGAGCGATTCTGACCGAAGGGGGGGTTCCGCCCAGACAACAGCAGCAACACCAGAGGAAATGAGGAGAAGTGAACACCCGCGTATTTTGAAGGGAAAATACCAAGCGGAGAAGGAAAAACCTAAAGACCTATAGAGAAGGTATTGGGTGATAGTGACGGACGGACTGGACTAGCTGGCGAGTCTAACTGAGAGATGAAAACCTCGATACCGAAGAATCTCTCCTTCTTTTCCTCCCTTCCTCCTTTCCTTTTCCCTTTCCCCTTCCTTTTGCCTTCTCGCACACAGAAGTCGAGAAAAGGAAAGGCAGCCAAAGAGAGGGAATGTTTGAGGGCGATAAAGAGACGGTCAGAGCGTCATTTGGCACGACAATGGTTGTCACAGGGGCAAGGGAGGGAAAAGATGAAATAGAAAACAAAATATCCTCGAGATATTGTCTCTATCCTCTTCCACTTTTTTTCACTTTTCCCCTTCTCGCTTTTCTTCCCTCTCTCTCCTTCCTTTCTCCTTCCGTCTTCGTTGGTATCGTAGGTATGTCTGGCAGGAAGTTGTCTCGGAAACGCAACAGCGACACCTACAGTACCACTCCCAACTGGGTAACACCCGAAAGAGAGGAAGATTGCGGGGAAAGTTGTCGAGCAAGACAGGACCGCTAAATCAAATGACTACGGTGGTATTCCGGGGAATTGTTCCTCAAGTGTATGGCTGGGATAAGTGGTGTTGAAGGGGCAATATGGAGATGAATCACGGCACTCTACCAGTCATAGCATGAATTAGAAAAGTGATGGTGAGTGGTACAGTATCGCTCGCCAGAGCTGAGAGGCGGAAAGGTATGATAAGGCAGGGTACGGTGGAAGACGAGAATTGAGACGGCCTCCAGACTCACGGCGAGGAACGACGGGGTCGATGGAACCTTACTGTAAAGGAGAAGAGTGCGGACGGGAGGAGTATCTCTCACCATTCAATTAACGATACTGTACGAGCACAGCACGGACTGATGTTTTTTTTTTCTTTTCCTATATCCGTTTCGATTTCTTTTCTCTTGATCAAGGTACGGTAAGGTACGGTAAGGGAAAATAAGTACTGATGGCTGGAAAAATATGCTATAGATCCATCCGCTTCGTGCACTGTACAGTACGCCAAAGAAACACGGGAAGAGACGAGGTGGACGAGGTGTACTAGCACTCGTACAATACAGGAAGATTTTAGCGAAGCCTCAGTATTCACCTCCGGGCTTCAACTACTGTACGCAGGATGCAGAAAGGCTAGTTTGACACAAAGGAGCACAGAGAGGTTACCGATAGGGAAGAAGGGGAAGAATGGGAAGAATGAATGGGAAGAAGGAAGCCTGGAGGAGGGAACGAGAAGGCGATCATGTACGAGTGCCCGTGCAAGTACTGTACTCGTACAAGTACCCTAGAAGCGAGAAGTTATACCGGTACAAGTATTGTATGATATCAAAAAGGCCCGACCACATTCGCCTCCCTCGATACCGCAACTATACCAGCACTGTGACCATTACCAGTACTATACTTGTAACTTTCCTTTCAAAAGCTTCTGAGGAGAAGAAAGCTCAGCCACAGAAATGAAAGGGGGAAGAGCATACTTCAGTGCCGTGCAGATACCCCAAGCTTCTCTTGACTCCGATTGCTCGTACTGGTGATGTTGTAATGGGTTCAGGCCGAAGTCCCCCCGCTTCTCTGCATCCTTTTCTTTCTTTCTTTCCCTTTAAATTACTCGATCAGTTTTCTTCCCCTCCGCTCCCCTCCCTCCTCCCATCTCTCCTTCCCCGATTTTGCTTGGCTATGCGCCCAGCTGCCAGGAGGCGTTTTCACTGCGGTGTTGCCGCCTCTCCCCTCTCCCTCTCTCGGGAATACTTTTCTCGTTTTATGCTGGTGTTGAGCAGGAAGTGGGGACACTTGCTGCTGAGCGAGGGTGAGTGCCTTCCCCCCACGACTCGTTGGTAGGCCAGGCAGGAGAATTTACTGCACAGGGATGGATTCCTTGCTTGCTTTTGTCTGGCTAGCCTTGCTTTTGCTCGTAGTGATGCCTGAAAGCGGCGATGTCAAAGAGTTGGATAGGGTACCGGCAAGGGGGGGAAGGTGAAAGCTTGGTATCGAATGGCATGAGAAGGTTTTTGCTGTATGATAATTAGATACCGTACAGTAACCTACCGGTACTCCACGTCTGAGCTTAATTTAGAACTGCTCGGGCACGGCACCGGCAGGGTGAAGTGAAGGCATAAAACCATGAAACTTAAATCCACCAGCGTACTAGTACTCGAGTACTCGTACAGTACCATACTCGAGCGCCGTACAGGGTTAATGTAACTCTGGCACTCACGTGGAGATAACGGTTCCCCGAGTGAGAATGATAGGCACGGGTGTGTTATGTATATTTATATGTATACAAGTACCGGTATATGATACCGTACTCGTATATCGTTTTCGGCATTTTTCGAGCTTCCACCCATCCATCCTACAAGCGCTCAGCCTTTGCTACGGTACTGTACATACAGCACGGTACAGTACACTCCCATTCGCAAAGTCTTCGCGGAAAGAGAGGTACTGTGGCAATGTCTTGGCGGCAACAAAGTACTAGTACTCGGTACGTACAAGGCACTGCCACATATCAGCGGTCGCAATTATACAGGGTAGCAGATACACCCATTGTTCTTCAATGGCACCTCCACATATTCCAACTTCCGGTACCCGATTTTGCCCTGCTGTCTGATCTGGGAAGGAGTTACGAGCAGATCACATGAGACCTAGGTGTTGCACCATCTACTGTTTGTGGTGTCGTTAAGAGATATCGAGTATAAGGGTATGTTCGCGATGCGGGGAGATCAGGGAGACCATCCAAGGTTACTCCCCATATTTTACAAGTTGTGGAGAAGACAGTTTAAGGAAATCCCCGAGTGTCCTTGGATGAGATCGTGGAAGGCCTTAGGGGTTTAGATATTGGTCGAACAACAGTTAATAAAATAACCAAAACAGCTGGGTTTCCAACTGTGTAGACTATACCACGGAAGAAGCCCTTTCTCACTCCGTTTGCCAAGATTCGCCACAAGTTCTGGTGTCGTGGAAGGAGGTATCGGACAACATCTGAATGGAGAAAAGGTGTCTGGTTGGATGAAGCTAAAATAGAGTACTCGTATATCGCATATCAGCCAGAGTGAAAGGTCCGGACTCGGATACAGCCTGATGAAGAGCTTGAGGAGTGGAATCTAGCTCCTAGCTTCAAGTCAGGAAGTGTAGGAGTTGGGTTTTGGGTAGCAATTGCCTATGGATAGCGGACCCCCTTGATCCGAATTCGCAAGCGTTTGGGGGTTAATGCTTCCCAGTATGCTACTGAGATATACGAATCCTATCTAGTCCCATTTCTGCTCTCTCTTGACCTGCCCATTGAGGAAATTCGGGTGATGGATGATAATATTGGACATCGCCGGGCTGGCCTGAATCGAGTCATTATCTTAGAGGATCAAATTTCTAAACACCTGTTACTGGCATTTTCACCTGATCTAAACCCTATCGAAAATGTGTGGCACACACTCAAATCACGACTCCAGAAGCGCTTTACCAAAGCTCAGCTTTGCCCTCATAGTGAGGATGAGCTTTCGGAGACACTGAGTGAGGAATGGGAGGCAATCAATCAGCATATAATCGATCGGCTTATAGATAGAATGCCAAAGCGGTTAGCAGATGTGATTAAGGCACGGGGCAGTCATATTAAGTGGTAGCGGGGAATAGTTTTTACATGTATTTCTTATGGAATTGGACTTGGGGCCCTGTAAGTCGCAAGTGACTAGTAGTAATGAGGGTGCAATAGTTGAGTCAGGAAATTCAGACTGCAGATAGCGGGTAAATTCTTGTACCAGTACCTTCAATGCCGCCAAGACATTGCCACAGTACCTCTCTTTCCGTGAAGACTTTGCGAATGGGAGTGTACCTGTTTGCTTTCCCTGCGAGAGAACACTGGACTATCGTCCCATAATGTGATACCGCATGTCCCCCCCACCCACAAGTTGGATCTCGCACGCCAATTTGTGGATTGAATGCTGTGACCACTACGGGCGGGGGAAGTGAAGGTGGAGATGGGGGAGAAGTATGGGCAAAATATACCGGTAAATTTAGTCTGCTCGAGCACTTGAGTATGGGGGACGGTGGCTGGGGTTGGGATGTTGCGTGACTCGGACAGAGCGTACCCCCTTCTTCCTCAACTGGATATGTTACCGCATGCTGCTGCTTATATGGCCGGTACGATACTCGAGTACTGTACTAGTACGGTACAGTACCGATACCGTGCCCTACCGGTAGAGTGTTCAGATACCGGCAGGCGTAATTTATGCCGAGCTGTATCATATCATAACCTATAGTATATTATGATACTCAAAGCAGCTCTCTGCTCCGGGGAACAATGTGATCCTCTTAACCCCCCACCCTGAGCTTCTTTTCCCCATCGTTATTGCAGGCCCGGTATCCTGTATGATATTATACCGGTACTTGGCGCGTCCCAGTTATAATACTTGACTGACCCTTTTGTTCGTTAAAGTTCGTGTGAGGTCGGGGCAAGCATCGGTATTCCTCTCATAACCTACGGCGTCACATATACCCGGTATATCATGGATTACTCGAGTATGATACTCGTAGCATACCGGTATGATATCATACCCCTGCGCTAATAGGGTATCGTGCTGCCACACCCGAGTAAGTTTCGTGTTTGCTCCAGAACGAACTTAGACTGCCCCTCCAACATTCCTATATCATACCCTCAACTTCATCTTTCCCCCCTTCCGCCCCCATCCCACCACACTCCACCCAATTTCACACCATTTCATACCATCTCTACTTGATCTGCTCACCGTTCCTTGATTCACCCTCTACGAACTGTACCCCCCCATCCAGCATCACCATAACAATCCCGAGCCAGTGCTCCAACAGAAAGCTATGCCTCGCCGTATAGCCACTCACGCCAATTCCTGGTACGTCGCTGACAAGCGTAAGCTTGACAATCAGCTCAATGCGTGGATACAGATAGCGGGTTCGGAGGACTGCGGAATCCCAGAGTTTCCCGTCCCAAATGCCAGGGTCATTATGGCGCCGTAAGCCCCCCATATTTTTCCGATCCCTTCAACCCCTCGGCCTGTGTCAGCTTACTGACAAACTGCTGTCCGTGAACCGATCGACTAACGTCTCATTTTCTACCCAGACACGCTGGTTATAGCTATTCTGGCGCTACTGCTGGCTTCGCCTACAAGGCGTGGGACCTTTCTCAAGCGTATAAATGCCACGGCTGAAATCCTGGTAGTTCAATGAGCCGAGCTGATTCTTCGCCATTTTAGGACTCGGATCTTTATTTTGGGACCCGCCCACCATGTTTACATCAACGGCTGCAGTATCTCTGCCTGCGACTCCTATGATACGCCTCTGGGAGAGCTAACCCCGGACTCCGAGCTTCTTCGAGAACTGGCGGAAACAGGAAAGTTCACCTGGCTCTCCCTGAAGGCAGATGAGGATGAGCACAGCATCGAAATGCACCTTCCGTATATCTACAAGGCCCTTGAGCGTGCCGGAAAATCACACAAGGATGTCAAAATCGTCCCGATTGTTGTCGGAAGCATCTCGACCGCCCAGGAGAAAGCTTACGGGACACTTCTGAAGCCGTATCTTGAGGATCCCCGGAATGCTTTCGTCATTTCTACGGACTTTTGTCACTGGTAAATAGAGGGCTCCCTTCGTCTCTGCTGAAACACCTTGCTCAAGCTTCTGTCGCAGGGGTGCACGTTTTTCATACACGGGCTACTTCCGCGAACTGCCTACGCATGACAACCCCAATCCTGAGTTTATCCACCTCAAGGAGCACGGCGTTCAGGCCATCAAACACCCGCTTCATAAGTCCATTAGGGCTTTGGACCACGAAGGTATGGCGGCCATTGCTACAGGCAGGCATAGTGAATTTGTCTCCTATCTATCAGGGACCAGAAACACTATCTGTGGAAGGCACCCTATCGGGGTGATGATGGCTGCGGCCGAGCTTATGTTTGGTGAAAACAAGGGGAGCAACTTGGGCAAGTTTAGGTACCTCTATTACGCCCAGAGTGAGGCTCTCGAGGACATTAATGGGAGCAGTGTAAGCTACGTGAGCGGTTTTATGGAGATGCCATGACTCCATCTCTTGTCTGTTATACCTTGACCTGTCCATTTTGCTTTTTTTTCGGAGCGGAGCTGGGATGCAGTTCAATGGATGGGGGCTATTGTAGACGAAGCGTTCCTGAGGATATCTAGTTAGACTGGAAATGAATATCCACCCTTGCTGCGTGCATAATGTGAGGTTGTAACACGTTTGTTTGCTTGTAGTCCGGAAAATTGCGAACCGTGATATTCACAGCATCTCACTCGGACTTTTACCATCGAGCAAAGTTGTTGTACTCATTGAGTGCATTGGGGAAAATCTACCCGCGAGGCTAGAGAAGTGTTCCTCGAGCCAAAGAAATGATAAAAGTTGAGAATCTTGCTGGATATGGTACGCGATAGAGCTGGAATCGATGGAAATAAGGGAGGTAGTCTGTACTATACTATATCGTGCCATCATACTGGACTCTGTTGGGCTACTTGCGCCATGATAGCTAACCTAAATTTGCCCACCTCCACCCTCGAAGGTCGAGGGGAAATAGGGAAACGAAGGGAAGGTGGAGGGGAAAAGGGGGAAAGGGAAAGAAATTCAATCAGAAAAAATAAATAAAGTACGCCAGCCTGTATATAACCCTTTATTCCCCCCCTCCCTGCTGCCTGGACCCACCAAAATGTACCCTTCATATCTATATTTACTTCCACACTCACCTATTTAGTAGCATTCCTTCTAGCCCTCTCCTTCTCAAAATTGGCGATGAGCTCCCTCTGCAACTGCGGCGGCGTGGGAAGGTAATCCTTAAATTCCATGCTGAACTCGCCCTTCCCCTGGGTCGCTGCGCGCAGCTGACTCGAGAAGCCGAACATGGCGTTCAGTGAGCACGTAGCCGTGAGCGTGAACTCGTCTGCGCCGATATCCGAGTCCTCGATAACAGCGTTGCGCTTATTCATGAGGCCGACAATGTTTCCCTGGAACTCGTTGGGAGCGGAGACGGCCACTTTCATGATGGGCTCGAGGATGATGGGGTTGGCGAGCTTGAAGGTGTCGCGGAAGGCGTACTCTGTCGCTGTCTTGAACGACATCTCGCTCGAGTCGACCATGTGCGTTGCGCCATCGTTTATGATCATGCGCGTGCCCAACACCTTGTGCCCGATCATAGGACCCTTTTCTGTCGACTTGAGGAAGCCCTTCTCGCAGGCGTAGAGGAATTTCTCCGAGATGTGGCCGCCGACAATTTGCTCTTCGAAATCGTTCTTGCCCTCCGGGTCGCGTGTGGGCTCCATGTAGCCCATCACGCGGGCGTAGTCTCCGGCACCGCCGGTCTGGCGCTTGAAGATATAGTCGAATTCCTGACGGGAGTCGATGGTCTCGCGGTAGGCCACTTCGGGCTTTCCGGTTACGCAGTCGACTCCGTATTCGCGCCGGAGTCGCTCGACGTAGATTTCCAGGTGGAGCTCACCCATCCCCGATATGATGGTTTCTTGGGACTCTGGGTCGACTTTGCAGCGGAAGGTTGGATCTTCGCGTTGGAAGCGGTTCATGGCTTTGGAGAAGGCAGCCGTTTCCTTGTTTTTGGGTTTGATGGAGAGAGAGATTACAGGGTCGGGAACGAACATTGAGGTCTGGGTTTATTAGCCCCGCTTCTGGATAGCTGGTGGGGGCAAACAAACCATGGAGTAAGGGAGCCCTCCGTCGGTGAAGGTATCGCCAGAAGCACAGTCAACACCAAACACAGCGCAGATTTCTCCAGCTCCGATTGAGGGCACTTCCTCCATCTCGTCAGAGTGCATTCGGACGATCTTTGGAACCTTAATCTTCTTTCCCGATTTTGCGTTGTAGACGTGCATGCCCTTCTTCAGGGTTCCCTGGTAAACACGGATATAGGTCAATTGACCGAAGTTGCCCTCTTCCAACTTGAAAGCCAAACCAACAAATGGGAGCGAATTGTATGGGACTAGAGAAACCGGGGCTTCGTTTCGTCGACGGTCAAGGGCAACAGCTGGAACATCAGATGGGTTGGGAAGGTAGTCACAAACAGCATCGAGCACTGGTTGGACTCCCTTATCTGCCAAAGCGGAACCGATGAGCACCGGAGTGAATTTACGTGCAAGAGTCGCTTGACGGATGGCTGCCTTGATCTGTTCCAGTGCGGGTGTCTTTTCCTCTAGCCACAGCTCTGCAATTGTGTCATCAACATCTGCTAGCGCCGCAATGAGAACTTCCCGCTTCTCCTCGGCGAGTTTCTTAGCTTCTGCTGGAATCTCTGAGAGCTCCTTCTCCACTACATTGATACTGGGCGTATAGTTAGTTGCAGATATAGTTCAGAACTCAGAGCACAAAATCTCACCCCTTGTGACCTTCAAAGAAAATCGCTTTCATCCTAACTAAATCAACAACACCCTGGAAAGAGTCCTCTCCACCAATGGGTACCTGAATGGCCGCGGCAGGGATCTTCAGCTTACTGTTGATCTGCTCAATCGCCTTCCAAGGATTCGCCCCCATACGGTCCATCTTGTTAACGAAGGATATCCTGGGTACGTTATACCTCTTCATCTGTCGATCGACAGTAATAGTCTGAGACTGCACTCCGGAAACAGCGCAAAGAATCATAACCGCACCATCAAGAACTCTCAGTGCTCGCTCGACCTCAATTGTGAAGTCAATATGCCCAGGCGTATCAATCAAGTTGATGTGGTACTTTTCGTCAGAGCCATTCTCCTTCTTCTCCCAGTCGCAGAATGTAGCAGCAGACTGGATGGTGATACCCTTCTCCCGCTCCAAGTCCATCGAGTCCATCTTTGCGCCAATAGCGTCCTTGCCACGGACTTCGTGGATGGACTTGATTCTGCCAGTGTAGAAGAGGACCCGTTCTGTACACGTAGTTTTTCCGGAATCGATGTGCGCCTGGACAAATTGTTAGCTTATCGCCCCCCAATTCCCGGAGCCGCGAAGGTAGAGGAAGAAACCGACAGCAATTCCGATATTCCGAACCCTCGCCAATCGAGCCGTTTCTTTGGGATCCATCTTTGCGAGAATTTCCTCCTGCGGGATGATGTCTGGCTCCTCCGAACTGGAAAAAAAAAGACATCAGGGCTTGAAGCAAACTAATTATCAATCAGCGGAAACATACACAGCTGGAGCAGCTGCTACAGATGCAAGGCCCCTGATTTCGCCTAGTCTGCTCAGAGCCAACGGGTAGCCCACTCCCACGAACGGGGAAGATAATGGGGAATGCAGAGCTGGACATTTCGATGGCTTTCGGGCAACGGTCGCTGGTATTCGTAGTGTTTTGGCAGCTGTACTGGTAGAGAAGGACCTTAGTGTTCGGAATTGAGAATTCACTGATGCAGCCCTCATGGTTCCGGCCCCAGCTCGTCGTCGTCAACTGGTGTGAGTGGGTTGAGGGGGGAGGCAGAAATTGGGGAACGGTGGGGACTCGGGAGATAAAAAAAAAATTCGTCCCTTCTTTTATCTAATCTATCATATTATCAGGCCTGATCTGGGTAATTGGTTCCGAGAGCTCCGCCGGTAGGGCATCACCGAGAAGCACTCGGTTGGCAACTTAGCCCAGTTTAGTTGCTTGGTTAGAAATTTGGGGGGTGATGGCCTGGGATCTAGTCGTCCAGGCTCAGGTACCAGAATTCACAGGCCATTTTAGCAACGCATGTTATCGTTATGGGACCCGATTACTTGATACTCCCGGGATTGGCATTTTTGCAAACGTGGGGCACATACTGTACTCGAGTACTCGTACTGCACAAATACCGGTAAACCCGCCCGTCACTTATCCCTGCAACTCACCGACACCACCAAAAGTAATCGATTTGATGACTGTATATTCATCAATGCCGTATTTGCTGCCCTCTCTTCCGAAGCCGCTCTCTTTCACTCCTCCGAAGGGCGACGCAACATCGGATATCAAGCCAGTATTGGCACCCACCATGCCCACTAGGCACCAACAGGTTAGGCAGCAGCTAGAAAGGGGGTTGCCGGAAGTCAAACATACCCTCGAGAGCCTCCGCAACTCTCCAGATCCTAGCAATATCACTACTAAAGAAGTATCCCGCTAAACCAACCTCTGCCTCATTTGCCAGGTCGACCACTTCATTCTCCGAATTGAACCTGAACAGGGCCGCAATAGGGCCGAAGGTCTCCTCTCGGTGAATCCTCATGTCACTAGTCATATTTGCGATGACCGTGGGCTCATAGAAATTGGGCCCAAGGTGGTCCAAACCCTTCCCACCAGCGAGCACGGTGCCTCCTTTCTTAAGGGCGTCTTCAACATGGTCTTGGACTTTTCCGACCGCCCTCTCGTGTATTAATGGACCGTGAGTATTCTCCAAGTGATATCCACTGCCGACTCTGAACCCCTTGACTTTCTCCGCGAGCCTCTTTGAAAACTCATTGTAGACTGCATCTTGGACGTATATCCTGTTGGCGCAAACACAAGTCTGTCCGGAAGATCTGAATTTACTTGTGATGGCGCCAGAAACCGCCTTATCAAGATCCGCGTCGTCAAATACGATGAAGGGGGCATTGCCCCCGAGCTCGAGAGACAATTTCTTCAAAGTAGAAGAGCATTGCTGCATAAGAAGCTTTCCAACACCCGTGGAGCCGGTAAAGGATACCTTTTTGATGATAGGGTTGGTGCAGAGCTCCTTGCCAATTTCGGGAGTGTTTTTGAGAGCTGTCACAACGTTTACAACGCCTTTGGGAATACCGGCACGGTTAGCTAATTCTGCGATGGCAAGGGAGGTCAATGGAGTTTCCTCGGGAGCTTTTGCGACGATTGTACACCCTGCTGCTAGGGCGGGACCAATTTTCCGGGTGATCATAGCTGCCGGGAAGTTCCATCTTTTTGAGAAGCATATCGTGTGAGTGGGAGAACCTGGAATAGAGGAGGGGCAGCGGGTGCAGGCATACGGAGTAATCAATCCACAAACACCAATAGGCTGCTTGACAGTAACAACCCTGTTTTCCCTAACAGAGGCAGGAATATTATCCCCATACATCCTCGGAGCCTCCTCAGAGAACCACTCAAAGAAGGCAGCTGCGTATGCAACTTCGCCCCTAGCGTCTGCGAGTGGCTTCCCGTTCTCCCAGGTAATGAGTGCAGCCAAATCCTCCTGGTTTTCCATGATGAGATCGTACCATTTTCTCAACATTCTAGCTCTCTCACGGGGGAGTGTCCTTCGGAAAGATTTGAGGGCGTCCCGGGCAATATTGATAGCATCCTGGACTTCAGAAACACTGAGTTCGGGGATAGTAGCTATCCTGTCAGTAGAGGCAGGGTCATGGACGTCAAAGGTTTTGCCGTCTTTAGCTTGGACGAATTGGCCATTTATGAAGGCTGCTTCGCGGAATAGTGAGGGGTCCTTAAGCTGGGCATATGAGTTTCAGGAGGCCAGCAAGAGTAGAGGGGTGAAGTAGGAGCGATACCTTTGGAACAACGTGCGAGGAAAGACGCATTTTGGATACTAGCCTAAAGCTGTTATGATGTTGGGTGTGGGGACGCAGGGAGCTGGGGTGGGATTGAAAAAAGGTTCTGAGCATGCTGTATTGTAGGATGGTTTCTTAGGCTTGATTTGATCCCTTGGTGGGCGGGGGATAGCCCAACAGGTGCTGTATCATACTGCCGCTAGTATCATACTGTAGCCTGCCTACCGCTATTTCACCATACGAGTAACCGAGAGGGCATTGTGCACTGATGCCACCTACCGGTGCCCTTGACCATGTGACTAGAGGTTATGGAACTATCGGCCAAACTGCGGCAAAGCTCCCAAGTTACCGCAAGTTATTTGTAAGACTCGGGGGTATGAGTAAGTGCGGACACCGTATAGTGTCGATGGCTAAATTGTGAGAAGTGCTACTGGTGTGTATTGAATTAATATAGGCAATTTGGCTTTGCTACGCTAGGTTTTCGAACACAGGTTGTGTCGATTTCTTTATGCAACTTTAATACCGCTCTTGTAACCCGCTGAATATTTCCAAATCTTCTGAAAATAAATATGAAAACAATTCATCAGAACTCGTGCCATAACGCCCCGACGAAATACTGAAAGGACCTCGGATACTCCAATACAGACAGCCTACAGTCCCAAAGCCTTTGCAACGATAACAGAAGTCCCAGCACTCGCAACAACTTGATTGTGGCCTCCCCATCTTACAACCCACTGCTCAATGGAATGGCCATTGCTTCTAGCCGTCGGCCATTTGTTCTGATAACTCTCCTCTCCAAATTCAGTCTTTTCCCTTAAGCCCATAATCTCGAGCCATGTCAGTTCACCCCCTGATTGTGTTGCATTGGCAGCAGTCACAAACAGTCTATCAGAGTGTTGCCATGGAATGTCGAAATCATTGTAGGCATGAAGAACGATAAAGTTCAACTTCTTACTAGACTTGATAAGTGAGGCAAGCCGCTTATCAGATTCCCACGTATCAATGATAAACTTTGCGAAGAATCCTTGGAGAAAAGGGTAAGGTCTCAAAGGTGACAGCACCGGAAGCCAGCCGAAGATATTGTAGGTTAGGATCAGTTCTTTCATGTTACTGAAACCAGCAATTGTGACGACTGCGCTGAGCTCTACGGGACTAGTTGGGTGGGTTGCTAGCTTTTCCGCAGTGCCAATGGCGACAGCTGTTCCCAGTGATTGGCCAACAACAGCTATCCTAGAGGGAGAGATCCCAAGAGTGTTAACCGCCCAGTTCACGGCGGTAATCCCATCGGTGATTAATCCCTGTTCTGATGGGGTGCCGGACGAGAGACCAAACCCTCGATAATCTAGAGCGATTATATGAATTTTAGATGGATCGCCAGCGGAGAGAGATCGTAAGTACGTAGGTCTCCAGGACGCTCCAACTGTTCCGGCATTCTGGCGGGTATATATTAGCATGTGACTGACCGGGGTTTAGGGTGTGCGTACACCATGAACTATGTCTCTGTTAGTGGATGTGGGGTACTAAGTAAAAGCTATTTGAGCGGATCGCATACAATGAATAATTAGCCTTGCTTCTGGATCGGCTATTAAGAGTTTAATATTCTCAGATTGCAATGGGCTTGTGATTAAGCCGGTATTTTGCTTGACTAAGGACTCCCGATGTTCTTTGTAGAGGCCAAGTGGAAGGACATGCCAGACGAATATGTCTTCACCGTCTGGAGTTTTCAAAAAGAAGGGTGCCACCTGATTTTCTGTGAGGGCCTTGTTAGTGAAGAATGACTAAGTTTTATATGGCGGATCTAGTGTACAGACTTGCAAATCCAAATTCTTCGGGCTTCGTAAGATCTTGTCGCCAGGTGACCTTCATTCTATGCATATAAATCGCACTGGGATGACATTATATTAGTTTAGATTCTTGGTCTCGCAGATACATTAGATAGGGAACCCACTTATTTTGAATCCATGGCACCATTAGTAACCCAAGAACGGCGAAGTAAAAAGCACCAAGAGCTACGAGTGGCCAATAAGCCTTCTTAAAAAGATCACGGGCCATATTTCTTGATCGATGCCAGTGGTAGCTCGCTGGAAGCCTGGCAGAGAGGTAGGGAGACGAGAGATTGAATAGATGTTGAGAGGGGTATCCGGTAGTCTAGATGTCGAGATTTTGGGTGGCAAACTGATGGAATCGGACTGAGCACGCGAGTTGAGCCCAACTGTCTGATTGCCTATTTGGGAGATCGACCGAGTTCTTGGCAGGAAAACATTGGCCAAATCGATGAGCCAGCCAGCAACCTGTCACTGTCAGAATCGTGCACCCACCAAGTCTGCTTCGCAACGCGTTGTGCCTTCCCTCACTCTCCCAGCACATCAACCCCATAGCCCTCTCTACAATATAGCTATAGACTAGCACCCAAATCAAGATGGGGGAGAAGCGGAAGCGCACGGTTGCTGTTCGGGAGTCGCATCCTTCCAAGCACCATAGTGCAACTCCTGCTGCTGCTGAAACACCAACACCGGAGGAGCAAACCTCCATCCCCGAAGTCCCAACGTCTTTTACAAAGGATGGCCCACTTCCGGTTATTCCACAACGTCAGCCGGATGGATTACTGTTGAGCGATTATAAATCTGTGGCCGAGAGGTTTGCCTCCCATCATAGCCGTCCCTTGAAAAGGGTTGCTAACTAGGTATTAGCAAGGTCATGGCAGAGTCGTTAATCCGATCTCAAAGGAAATGGGTGGATGGGGATGTCTTCGAAAAATTCTGGATAAAACCATTAAAGTCACGGAAACTGGATCCGGCAGAGTTAGAGAAGAATCCATCAAAGGATTGCATGACCAAGCTTGGAAATTGCACCATGGGCTCTATGCCTCATAAGTTTGAGATCAAACTTTTTGGCGTACTGGAGCCCGTTAAGCAGCCCCCACCTCAGTGTCCCGTACAGAAACAAGCGTTGCCACCAACACCCCAGTCGGGCACTTCAGGAAACACCGCAACAAGGCCGGATTTTACACCCCACCATGGGCAATCTACAAGAGTTGGTGTTCAGACACCATCGGCGCACCATCAAGTTCCCCAGCAGGGGCCAGATCCCGCCCGGACACCGTCAAGTCCTGCCCCAGTAACTCCAGCCCCGCATCAAAGGCCTACGGGCAATCTGGGAATATCTTCGCAACCGTCCACCATTAGCCAACCATCCCATCACGGCCCGCAACTGCAGCAAAGCAATCCTCCCCAACAAGGTCCTCCCAGAGTGGCGCCCCCACCGGCGACCTCACGCCCTGACCCTGTGATTCAAGCCCTCGCCATTCGGGCAGCATCTGACCCTGATTTGAAAGCCCTCATGCGGATTGTTGCTTCTGGGAAGGCGACGACAGAACAACTCAAGATATTCCAGGGTCATATTGATGCCTTGACCCCCGTCACAAGTTCTCAATTAGTTCACAGTCATGCGGCACGTCCAACAACACAGGCTCCTGGGCCTGGCACCGCTGGGAGTGGTCACACAGCACAGGTACCCCATCAACAGACGCACCCCGGGCATCAGCAGCGACACCAACAACTGCAGCATACACAGCAGCCACAACCCCAATATCAGCCTCAACACCATCCGCAGCAATATCATCAGCAGCAACCGCATCCCCGGAGTCATTCCAACTCTCCACAATTCACGCACCATCCGCCGCAGTACGCTCCTAATAGAACTCCTGCTCATAATCCGGTCCAGACAAATCCCAAGCCCCGACCATTTCCCCAGCCCCCTAAGCAAGAGATCACCTCTGTAGTGTTTGAGTTTGTTGACCCCTACAGCCAAGGAGATCGGTTCCTTTTCCCCAAACATACAATCCTTGAATACCTGAGGGGTGGAACAATGGTCCGAGCGTCGTTCATACTAGTCCGCAAACCGGTTGATGACTTGGATGAGTACTACCAACCTATTACTGTTGTTTTGGAGTCTGCAACCCCTAAACCCTTGGAGATACTTCAGAGGGTGGTTGCCAGTCCAGAAGTTACCTGCAAACACATGGAAGAGATAATGGCATCAAAGAAAAGGGCGGAGGATACATTCCTGGTATTCCGTCTAAGCCGTGAGCCCGGCGAGGCAATCCCGGAAAAGCTTGAGATCGGAAAGGTGGAAGCAGCCAGCAAGGTTCTACGAGAACGTAGGGCTAGGAGGGAAAGCAGCACGCCTGCACGCGACCCCAGGAGCCTGGCAGGCACAACTCACGCAGCACCGCCAAGGCCACGGGTGAAGACAATTAGAAAGGTGAGCAACTCCGTGGCATGTTGGCTAATACGAGGGCCGGTCTAACTGTTTTAATAAGGCGATTACTCGAGAGCCTACCGCTCAACCCTCTATCCCATCCCCCACCACCAGCGCAGTCAGGACACCAGTTCCCAAGATGCCCAGGCCCCCAAGACCCCCCAAACCCCCCGCTCTAGGAAGGGGAGGATCGCGGATCCGACGAAGAGCTGTCATATATGCCAGACGTCCAAAACTTCCCTTTGGCGAAAGGCCGACATTGAGGGGGAAAATGTCACAGTCTGTAATGCCTGCGGCATCAAATGGAAAACAAACGCGCAGAAAGCGGCCCAGGCTGCGGCCCAGGGGATAACTGGTCAGCCATTGCCTACCGATGCCGCCGGCCCGAGTTCAGGCACGGTTGAGCCAACGACCCAACAACCGGAAGCCGATGTCCCGCAAATGCAACGCAACCAACACGCAGCCGGGTCGACTGCTAATGATTTGAGCGGGCAACAGATGTATGCAAGCGCAAACCAGGTCCCTAGTGCCGTAGCAGCACCAGGCGCCCCCGTATCTTGTTCGCAACAGCATTCGCAATGTGTAGCGAATGGATCTGTTCCTCAACCAAGTTTACCACGGCAGGGTGGCAACCCCCAACTGCCTTTATTGATGGGGGGTCTGCAGCCCGCGGGTTCGCCGGGCGAGAATGGCCCTCAAAGTTTGCCTCCTGTTAACGACACCCCACAGGGCTTAGTGTTAGTTGTAACAGATGGCCTCCCACTGCTATAGCAAACAATTCCTAAGAAGCTGATGGATCAGAATAGCTCCGCGACGCAAGGTCCCCCTGGGGGATTGGGGGACTGCATAGGCATACCATAGCATTTTTTCCCCTATTTTGTTTTTTCCCTTTATTATTAGCAGCACGGCTTGGATTTACCCCTGCGCATGGCCTCCCCTTTATTCCTTCTGGGAATTAATTGTTGCTCTAAACATGGAGTCTAGGGGAAAGCACGATCGCTCGTGCGTCACTCATAGGCCAGTTCTTGACAGTAAGATGCGTGTTATAAATGGAATAGTGCTCCATGAGCACCCCCGAGATCTAGTGAGCTCGAAAAGCTGGGGGAAATTGGATTCAAGAAGCTATTTTGGCGTTATAAAGTTAGGACTTGGGTTACCGAACGGGCCAGAAGAGCAATGATCTAGTCTAGCACCCTCATACCGGTATGATACATAAACAGATAATGTATAGTGCAGGTACTAGACTAAACAAATGATTCATCCTGCCTCGGATGTGATACCGATATGTGTTGCGTGACTCGGACGAAACCTACAGGGGATCATTGACATTTCCTTTTCGAGATCAGAATTGGCCTCATCCAATGAAAATTAGTAATTAGTCACCACTCACCAATGCCCTTTTCTAAAAGAGCAATCGCCGCATTTCGGACATTCTATGCAAGCAGGCTCTAAGAACCTGTTCTCGTGTTCCTCATCACCCTCACCTACCAGTGATGTGCTAGTAAACTACGCTTATCCCACACAGTTCACCCCCTATACCTTTGGGGAAATAATGGGGCTTACATATCACAGCCTTTCCAGTATGGTGTAAAGTGACACAAACCGGGTCCTCCAAACAGGCCAAATGCGATCTTGAACTAGTTGATCATAAGAGCAAATATTTTCAAAAAAAAATGTAGGTGATAAAGCCATTCAGAAGGAGAAGAGGGCCTACATTTTTTAAAATTTAATCAATATCATAGGAAAAAGTAGTTCAAGATTGAAAAGTGGAAATTTAGGTGAGAGTGAAACAAGTGATAGAATATACCTAGTAACAGACTGAAAAATACAGTAGAGTAAATATGAGTATGGTGCAAAGTAACACAAAGTGGGTCCTCAAAACAGGCAAACCCAAAATTGAACTAGTCAACCACAACAAGGAATAAAAATTAAAAAAAAACCTTAGTGAGGAAGATATTCAAGGGGAGAAGAGGCCTGAGATTCTTTTTTTTTTTAATAAAATCTTATTTGAAAAAGGAGTTCAAGTTTAAAAGATGAAAATTTTGGTGAGAGTGAAACAAGTGATAGAATCTACCTACTGACAGACTGAAAAAATACTGTAGAGTATTATAAATGACTGAGACATTGAAATAATCAGTGATTAGTATGACAGGCATAAAAAATTCTAATTCTGGTTAATCCTCTATTCTACACATTTCCCTTAGCATGTTATTTCATCTTACTCATCATGTCTTGGCAATTATTGGCCCAAACCTGATCGGTTACAACGGAATTGCCGTTTCACCGGAGGACCCGCCTTTAGGCACTTTGCACCATACCGTAAAAACTAAAATAAAAGAAAAATGTGCTATGAGGTTCAGTTAAAGTACTTGAAACAAGAAAGGGGGAAATTAATGTCTTAGATGTATTTTTTGTGGACTTGCTTGGCATGATATCAACGACATCCCATCATTATGATAATGTAGACTACCGTATCTGAACTACCATAGTATAACATATATCAATATTCAACTTTATACATTTTATTAATTCTACTTTACAATTATCTATGTCTTCAAAAGGAGTAAAAATCTGTGGCCGGATAAAGGTCCAGCCAGTTCTACCTCCACTAACACCTGATAAGTTCTATGTGGGCATTAGAAAACGAAGAGGACCTAAACGAATACCATTAGCAGAGGTTCTCCAAGGTCAGCAAAAGAAATCCAGCAATTCGCATCGGTCCTACACCATAGGTTATAAGCTTCGAGTACTATCATACTGGTATGGAAAAAATATTCAATGCGGCCCTACAAGATTCCAGGAGCCAACGAGAAATGAGGTAGGAAAGTATTTCAACATACCTGTAGGAAACCTGAATTGATGGAGAAACGACAAAAAGGAAGGACAGTTTGCTCAAGCAAAGCAGCAACAACGACGGATTGGGGGAGGGGGTCAGCAACGTCAGTGAAAAGAGATGGATCGAGAACTCTACGAGGAGTTCCGACAAAGGAGAGCCCTTAGAAGGCCAATTCGGCGAAGCTGGTTCAGAAGAGTCAGTAAGGAGCAGTTTAAGAAAGTGAATCCAGAAAGGGATACTCAGCTTTTTAAGTTTTCAAACGGCTGGTTTCGGGGCTTCCTGCATGCACACCAGATTAGTCTGCGTATGATAACCAATACTGCGAGTAAACTACCAGCAGACTTCTCCTCCGCAATTCTTGATTGGATGAAATTCAATCGACGTAATTCTCAGCTCCGTCCTGACAATGAGATGGATCTAGGAGACGTACTTAAAGCTATTGGAAGATATATGTTAGCAAATATATGCAATATGGATCAAACCCCTTTACCCTTTGAGTATCTGGAAAGGCAAACTTATAGTAAAGTTGGAGAAAAAACGATCTGGGCACAAGCAAGTAGCACTTCAGGATGGGATAAACGACAAGGAACAATTCAACTTACCATATTTGCAGATGGCATTCCATGTGTCAAACCATTGGTTTTCTTTCGCGGAAAAGGCATCGGGCCAACAATTGTCACAGAGCAGCAACTCTATGACACTCGAGTGGTTGTAAAGTTCAACCCAACAGCATACGCCAACTCTACTAATATGGTAGAGTGGCTTGATGAACAGCTAGTTCCTGCGCTCAATGATCAGCCATCATTACTAGCAATGGATCTTTTTGCAGCGCACAAGACCGAGGAGGTTCTTGATACGCTGCGGGCTAATGACATTACTGTAAGTGTCATTCCTGGAGGCTGTACTGGCCTAGTTCAACCGCTTGATGTATCAGTAAACCGGCCATTCAAGGATATTTTGAAGGTAAGATAAGAGCCTGATAGAAGATTAACTTACCTGCTGAGAATATTAATTGTTATTTTATAGGAAGAGTTAGACATACGACTAGACATGATCGATAGTGAGGAGGAAAGGATACGTGAAGCAGGAGGGAAACTTACCGGTAGCATGATTGGCCAGCGGAGAGTCGCTACAACATGGGCTGTAGGGAAAGCTTGGGAAAGGTTTTCCCAGGAGAAAGCGGAGGTTGTTCGGCATTCCTTCCGCTGTGTTGGTCTATCACTTCCAATCGATGGAAGTAAAGATAACCAGATTTCGATTAAGGGAATCGAGACCCACTACCTGGCAGAAGGGTTAGCAAGTTGCTATAGTAGAGGAGGACTTACCATTGGGGCTGATTTGGATGGCTTGGTAGAACCGGGAGAAGTTGTTCTCACTGGTGTTGTTGGAGGTGAGGTGGAGAATGATGAAAATGTTGAAAGTGATGATGAAAATGTATTTTTTGAATAGGTGCCAAGAGTTAAAAAAATGATATTGCGTGCTTTGCTAATCACTTGCTTGGTATGTGTCACCTTAATTTGACCACCCAGCACATTTTTCGTTTATTTTAGTTTTTACGGTAACTAAAGGATTATTATGGCCGGGGTGGACAGCACTGTTGCCACCGGTCGGCTGCTGAGCACCCCTAATTCTGGAGCCGCACCCTAACGAGATCGGTCCGGATAAGTCAGCCAATCCTGGAGAACATTTACACCCGGGCCCCTCAGTTCACCTCAAATTACAGGTGTGAACTCACTTTTATTAACAAATTGTTTGACTACAGCAAAGTCCTTCTAGGCCCACTTTTTAGATTTGTCTAGGAGCCGGCCTAGGCCTTTCATTTTGGTTTCCGTTCACCGAGCCTTCCTTGGCAAGAGGAGAGGGAAGGAAGAGCTGGGAGTTTACCACATACATGGAGGGAGAGGATGGAATGAGGTATGTTACAAAGGGCGGGCGAGTATGTACGTATGTACTATGGCGCGTCAGTTGCTGAAGGTGATGTACAATATCATGCTTTGTGGGCTTTGTACGGTGTGGGGCCTTTAGAATTGTGTTGGGCCACTTGTAGGCTGTGGGATATCGTGTAGGAATGGACGGGCACGTATTGTTTATGATTGTATTTCACCCGCGGTCGAGGGTATTCTCAATTAAAGTGGCAATACTCCGTTCGAGTGCGTAAATACCGTTGGGTTATTGCGATCTTGAACAGCCCACAAACATCTCTCAATTCAATCATTGAAGCTTCACCCAGCCATCCAACGGTCAAGCAGTAGGCCACTAGCACCGCGTCGCAGATCCTTGCGCCAGGGTTAGGTGAGATCCAGCCGACGATTGATCGGATCAGAGCCTCAGAAATCTTTCCAACCCCCCCCCCCCCCGAATTCTGAGACATTTCACTCCTCCCCCACCCATTCCTCCGTATCAATCTCGCCAAGTATGATATAATTCTCATGGGGAATCTACGGACGGATTTTTTGACGGAGGGCGCACTTCGGTGCACGTTGTTACTGCCGAAAGCGACAATCCCAATTTGGACAAACAAAAATTCTTCAAAAGAAGAGCTATTAAGGAAGTGCTCGGATGGACTATACGAGTGGCAGGTATGATGTGAAGTCCCCTTCCCTTGGGGAATTGAGGCGGGAATTTAATTGTTGATAAACGCGGATTTTCTTTAAACAGAGGGCCAATTTGCCGAAGGAGAATTCGTTTGTGCTGCACGATGGACCCCCTTATGCGAATGGGAATTTGCATTTGGGTCTTGTGTCTCTTTCAACCGAGGCTGTAGCATTTGCTGACGGGCTGGGGAAATATAGGGCATGCACTCAATAAGATTCTCAAAGATATTGTTGGGCGTTTTCAAGTTCTTTCTGGCCGCCGCCTATCTTACATCCCCGGTTGGGATTGTCATGGACTCCCAATAGAGATCAAAGCATTACAATCCTACACGGAATCCCCACGAGAAATGGGCAATAAGAACAATATAAAGGCTGCCCAAACTGCCGCTGAGAAAGGGAAGACCATGGGTGCAGCTGAGATTAGGTCTCTGGCACGGGGACTCGCGGAGAAGACCATCACCAAACAAATGGCCGAATTTCGGTCATGGGGAGTGATGGGCGATTGGACTAATCATTGGAAAACTATGGATAAGGACTACGAGATATCGCAGCTGCGAGTGTTTAAAGAGATGCTCAAAAGGGGCTTAATATATAGACGCTTTAAGCCAGTCTTTTGGAGCCCCAGTTCAGGAACAGCACTCGCGGAGGCGGAATTGGAATACAACGAAAAGCATCCCAGCAAGGCCATTTTTTTGGCCTTCCCCATACGGGCCACTGCAGCGCCGGGGCTTGGAAAAAGACTCGAGGGGATTAGCGTGCGGGCCGCCATCTGGACGACTACACCTTGGACCGTCCCTGCGAATAAGGCGATCGCTGTCAATACGGGAATAGAGTATTGTGTTGTGGGCACCGAGAAACACGGGAACTTACTCGTTGCATCACAGCGAGCTAGAGAGCTTGGTAAGGCCATAAATGAACAACCAAAGATTATAGTGAACGGTATCATGGGCCAAGATCTTGTTGGGGCGCAATATTCACATCCCCTGCTTCCGGAAGATGCTCCGTGCCAGCCAATACTGTCTGCGGACTTTGTTACAGCTGATTCTGGTACTGGAATTGTCCACTGCGCTCCCGGCCACGGAATGGACGACTATCTCCTTTGCCAGAAGCATGGAATACAACCATTTTCACCCGTAGACAATAATGGACGGTTTACCGAAGATGCTCTACCCGGACACGGCATTGAAGGACTGGAGGTTCTTTTTGGTGGTACCAAGAAGATCTTGGATGTTCTCACGGAATCAAAAGCTCTTCTAGCGCTCCAGCCAGGGTTCACGCATAAATATCCTTACGACTGGCGGACAAAGCGTCCTATCATTATCCGGGCAACGGCGCAGTGGTTTGCGGACGTTGGCGTTATTAAGGGTGCTTCCATTGACTCACTTGGGAATGTCGAGTTTGTTCCGTCCGCTGGAAGGTCGAGATTGACATCTTATGTTAACAGCCGTTCGGAGTGGTGTATTTCTCGGCAAAGGGCATGGGGTACACCTATTCCCGCGCTCTATGATGTGGAGACTAACGAACCGTTGTTGACCGAGGAAAGCGTCGAACATATCATTAGCATATTACAGGATAAAGGAACTGATGCTTGGTGGGGGGGCGGGGTTCCGGAGGAAGCATGGGTGCCCGAACTAATTAGAACGACAGGAAAGAGGTACGTCCGAGGTAAGGAAACCATGGATGTCTGGTTCGACAGCGGCACAAGTTGGGCTACACTCAGAAATTGTGTTGGGCAGCGTAAGGGAAGGCCTTTGGCCGATCTTTATCTCGAGGGGTCTGACCAGCACCGGGGCTGGTTTCAGTCATCTTTACTCACTTCGGTGGCCTCTTCTGCAGACCTCCATGCTGCTAAGGCGCCCTTTGGAATGGTTGTCACGCATGGCTTCTGTTTGGACGAAAGGGGGAAGAAGATGTCAAAGTCTTTAGGCAACACTATGGCCCCTGTGGACGTCATCAAACCCAGGGGTAAGGGCATCGGTGGTATAGATGCTCTGAGACTATGGGTGGCTAGCTGTGATTACACTAAGGATGTCGGTATCGGAAACACAATCCTTGACGGTGTGAACGAGAACTTGAGAAAGCTAAGGGTTACTTTGAGGTTTCTATTGGGGAATCTAGAAGACTGGGATGGGCAGGAGGTGGATTACTCTAAATTAGTGAAGGTACTTGAGCATACGCATTTCGATTGGTATTGCGCCGAACGTAGGCTGACGGCGTTTCGTAGACCGATAGATATGCGCTGGCGCAGTTGTATCGGGTTAATAGAGCTACTGCACAGGTGTACAAGAACCTGCACTTTAATAGAGGTTTTTAGAATTTGTATTCGCGTTGCTGTCTCTAGGCTGATGCTGGAACAGTTATTCAACTAGTCATGGCATATACCAACGCAGATCTCTCCGCATTCTACCTGGATGTCACAAAGGATACTATGTATTCCGATCCAAAGGACTCTCAAAGACGCCGCGGAACACAGACCGTCATATACTATGTGAACATTTTCCGGCACTAACCCATATCAACCCCATAAGAAATGACTAATGCTATTGATCAGATTCTCCGGAACTACCTTTCCATACTCGCGCCTATTGTCCCACTACTCACCCAAGAAGTCTGGTCACATGCTACATCGTTCGTGACGAAGGGTGCCGCCGGGCCAACACAACTGGGATGGTATAAGCCGGCCGAGGCATGGAACGACGAGAATCTGATTGAAGAGTTCAAGCATATCAATACGATCCACTCGCTGGTGAAACTGGGCATTGAAAAGGCTAAGGCCGAACAGTAAGTCCATGGCATTCATGCATTTGGTCGGGCACTAACGGGTGAACGAAATAGAGGTGTTAAGGTCAACCTAGAGGTCTCAGCAGTATTGATCACTCCAGAGGGGTCGAAGGCGAGGAGGATTTTGGAGGAGTACGGTGAGTATATCATATCTGGTAAACTGCGAAATTATAGCTAACAGAGCGCAGCCAACGAACTCCCCCAGATATTCATTGTCTCGGAAGTTTCGCTCGGGAAGGAAATTCCAACGAGCCCAACGTGGCAGTACGTCGAAAAGACAAACCTCCTAGGTGACGACTGCACCGTCGTGGTCCGGCGCGCCTCGAGGAATAAATGCCCTCGCTGTTGGGTATACTTGGCAAACGACCCAGGTGAGATATGTGATAGGTGCCAAAATACCATATCGATAGATCACGCAGCGGTTTTGCAGGGCGGAGGTGGTGGGGTGGGCTGTGCCTAGTCTCCCGGTGCTGGCAGGTGTTGTGTCAGCCTACAGCTTGGGAGGGCACGGCAGTACTGGTCCTTGGATTGTACCGTACCTGCCTGGTGATTTAATGTATGATATGAATACCGTACTACAAGTATGACCGAGAACAATAAGCGGAAGGCAAAAGGATAGGAAGTCGGTAAGTTAGGTTGATGTGTTTTGCACGAAAACCATCTTCGCCCACTCCCTGCCTTTTTAGGAGGGGTATCGTGACATGCTTGTCGGTTACCAGTAAGGGTCGTAATAGGGAGATTTAAAGCACTCGGTACACTGTGAACTGGTACAGAGCATACCCTTAAAATACCTTAAAATACAGGTGTACTGCTTTGAACATCACTGATAAACTCCCATCAGGACTGGTATATTGGCTTGCATGTTCTTGCATGGTAAGTGTTGCTGGTGTGACAGATTAAGTAAAGTGTGAGTTAGTTTAGAAGGGGATGATGGATGGAGTGACTGTACCTCTGTACGATCCTCGCTCAAAAAGTCATGAGTAGGTTGCTATTTTGCACCAAAATCACACCACTTTAAGGGCAATTAACTTGCCCAAAAAGATGATAGAATTAATGAAACTGGGACTATGTATTTTCCAATTGCTTGGCCTATTTCAGTAAAAATTGTGTGATTTTTGTCACCCTCTTGTGAGTGCTGATAGCTAGTGGTTTATTCATGAGGTGTTACATTGTATGATACCTTTTTTACTGAAAATTGATATGATTTAAGGTATCTTTTGTTCATCCTCAGTTATTCTGGTATTTCTCTCCCAAAGTCTATTGATAGAGCTTGATTTTTTTTTTCTGAGCAAAGTCCATATAGGTACTGATATGTGAAAACTGCCAGTGGGCAAATCTGCAACTGCAACAAATTTCCTTTAACACATATTATATCATACTTCTTAAACATAAAGAGTATCATCTGAAGAGCTTAAAAAAATATTTGTCAGTTAAATTGGACTCTTTATAAGCTTTATAATTCATCGGATTCAAAATTGTTGTAGTTGTTCTGCAAACTTCAAAGTATTATAACTCAAGACCAAGTTAAAGGTGTTTGTCCAGTTTTCACATATCAATACCTATATGATTCTAAGAAATTTATTGAATTTTAATTTTTTTATAAGAACAGTCAAGGTAGGTGTCACGGCCACCCAGCTATGGAGACGGAACATGCATGGATTTTTGGTTGCATATATTGGTTGTGGTTTTCTTGGTTGCATAGTTGGATTTCCTTTGTATAAGTGATTGGGATGCGTTACCGCGCAATGGAAGATGGTGGAACCTGATGGAAGGATTGCGGCTCTAGACCTCGTCTCCAGAATCCTGCCTGTCCTGATCATGGTGTGTGCCTTGGGCTACACGACCCTCAGACCCTGTCCGTTATAGTAGGGGTTCCTAGATGTAAAGTTGCTTTTTTTTAGTGGAAAATACTACCCTACTTATGGCTTTTTGAGTGAGGTTCATATGGTTCATGCGGACCAAAACCGTAACCAGGCTGAAAGAGAAATGTTACGTGGCTGTGCTACTATAGAGGTTAAGCCCTAACATTATTCATTCTAAAATAAGGTATTTGAACTCACTTTTTAGGATTTGTATCA